TAAAGGGAAAGAAGGCGCTCAAGAGAGGTAGGATCGTAGAAGGGTATTATTAAAGGAGAAAGGGGAAAATGGGGGCACCTTCATTGGGGAAACCATGATGGAGGCATTAGACAATGCGAGAGTTAAATAATGCCTAGCTAGTTTTAAAAACCAGAGGGAACCTTATTAGTCCAACAACCTACTGACAAATTATACATACCTGAACAAGAAATCTATATCTAGGTAAGGTTTATCTGAGAAGAAATGGTCTTTGCCCAAGATTTATCTACATGGCACACAGTAATTCAAAGTACCAGACTGGTGGAATTAACCTTTTTGGATGTTTAACAGAAATACTTTGAGGCCTATACTAATTTGGTTAGAGGGACAAAATTGACAGTTGTTGCTCCTTGCCCTCCTAGGTTGACTAGTTCCAGGGGACTATGAGCACCTCCTAAAATGTCCTGTAATTGTGGTGGGTCACCTGTCCTCTTGATCAAGGAGGCCGAGGAGACACCACGAGATGGACCTAAACCAGTGTCCAGTCTACAAAAAGGAGGGTTAACATAGAGGAATCATTTCCTCCCTGCTTCCAAGTGAAGCCAGCCATGGTTGAGCAGGACCTTTGACTTATCTTCACATAGGCGGAACTGGTAAAAGAAAGGAGTCAGGGGCTCCTCCCAAGCCCATGTGACCCCTGACGAACAGATCCTCAAACGACCTTAAGAGTCAAAATAAATTGGTTTATCTGGGCCAACTTTATGGCCTTAAACACCCCAAAGGAAAGTATAACCAAAGATTAAAGGGGCCAATATATTTTTTTAAGCGTCCATATGTATAGCTAAACGCTACATAACAAGCAACAATGCCAGATAGGAGATACCTTCTTTTGAGTTGTTGGCCAGGGTGGACCAAGTGACTGCCAGATAGTAACCCAGGATAGAATTGGGAAAATGAACAGCAGACCCCAATCTTATCAAAAGGAATACTGACAACTGATTGCTGCTAGATGAGGAAGAGCTGACCTTCCTAAAGCAAAGACCTCTAGATAGGCTGACTAGATTCACCAGATGTACATGTAGTGGGGAACGACTGGGGCTACCGACCACACAGCGGACAGTAGCAGGGATAACAGAGTATAAAGGCTGTAGTGGGGGGAGGTAGGCTATGGGAGGGTGCCATCTGGGAAGTGGGTGTATTGTTGAATAAGATGGTTTGGGATGTTCTGTGTGATACACACACACACACACACACACACACACACACAAATCAAATTTAAAAAGATGTATTATATTTGAGGAGGAAGAATAAAAATTTACGTCCTGTTAATTAGTAGAGGTGATAAACACTACCATTGAAATCTACCTGATGATTTTGTAGATATACACAGGCACCAAGGATCCGAGTGCAACCAATTATGACTAGTAATAATCAGATACATACAGATTAGAGATGTGTGTGCCAACATCTCAGTGTTAGTAGCAAAAACAATGAGTCTTTCTGCAAGGAACAATATATCCTAAAATGAAATGGAGATCTTTTTTAAAGGCTACAAAACTCATTCAATTTTATGTCTTACAGGGCTTATATTCCCAGCACCCACATGGTGGCTACGAATCTTCCTTAACTCCAGTTCAGAGGACTCCAAAGCAGCCTTCTGACCTCTGAGGATGCACTCACATACATGCAGGCAGTATGCTTCTTCCTAAAAAATAAAAAATAATATTTAAAAAATTGTAGGAAACTGCATATTTTAAAATGAAATGGAGATCTTCTTTAAAGGGTAAAAATTCATTCAATTTTCTATCTTACAGGGTTTATACTGAATTCAATATTTTATAACTGTATTAATTCAACTGTGAACCTAAAAATGTACAGCCATTATTTAAAGATATGTATCCTTGCTCTGGAGTGTGTTACTGAATATGTTAAAGCTGTAATGAAATCTTCTAATCGTGTGGTTATTAAATTAAAAAAAATTAAAAAAATAATAATTCTTCAAAGCATCACTTACCAGATATTAAGCTTAAGTTTATACAAAAAGTTACTTAGGGGGTGGAGAGATGACTCAGTGGTTAAGAACACTGCTTGTCCTTGAAGAAGACCTGGGTTCAAATCCCAGCCCCCACATAGCAGCTAACAATTCTCCATAACTCCAGTTCCAGGGGATCTGATGGCCTCTTCTGTCCTCATGAGCACTGGACAACATGGGTGCACTCACATACATGCAGACAGTACACTCAGACACATAAAAATAATAAAAAAGTTATATAGACAATCATTTCTCATTGATGATTTTGTTCCTAACAAGAAAGTGTTGTTCAAATGTAAGACTTCAAATGTTGGTTTCTTTACAGCCAGTTTTGAAAGAGATGGATCTTAGCTCTGGAAATTGTTATTGAATATGTCAATGCTGTTGTAATGAAATGCTTCTTCTAATTATGTGGTTATTAAATAAATCATTAAAAAACAGTGCTGTCATCTACCTTAAAAGGTCAAATGAGAGAGTAATGGTGTGTCAGGGGAAAAGACAAATATTACATGTGTTCTCTCATATGCAGAATTTAGATTTAAAAAAATATATAGGGCATGAAGGAAGAAGGGGGACTATTTGGAGGAAGGGAATCAGAGGGAGGAAGAAGGAGGGACAAGGGATGGTAATGGGGCAATACGAGCAAAGTGTGATTATATATATATATATATATATTTGTGTGTGTATGAAAATGTCATAATGAAACACAGTTTTGTATATGCTAACAAAAACTTAATAAGAAAATGGGATCAATAAATGAGAATCAAGTCAATTAAAAGTCCTTTAAGAGCTTAGCACTTTATAATTTAACTGTACTACACTTATAAGCTGTCATTGAACTTTTCTTGGAAATGTTCATCAAGATCAGGATTTACTAGTTCTTTGCATAAATACCATCAGGGTACTGAAATGATTTTTTGAGATGTTTTGAAATAATTTAATAGTGTGTGGAGTACAGATAAAACAAGATTAGTAATATATTAGTTATTGAAACTGGTTGTTTTCCACTATTGTGTGCTTGAAATTTTCCATAATAAAGAAGTAACAACACCTACTGCTGGAGTCATATCATAATATATTTTAAAAAAAGATAAGGCCACGAGGTTCATCAAAGGTGGCAGAAATGAACCTATACTTCAAACTAAGGTGCTGAGATCCTGGACCTTTGGTAAAGAAAGCCATAAGGACAAACAAGAAGTAAGACTAGTCAAAGAAAACGGGAAATAAGTTATGAGGCTCAAAGTTTCAAACCCTGGGCACTCAAATTATGGTATAGCTTCTACCTTATCATTTGCTTACTATAATATTGTTACTATTCCCTAGGAATAGGAAATTGTAAAATAATTTAATTTTTGCACATTGCACGTAGTCTAAGTTTCTTACCAAGACTGAATAGAACTATTTAATGCTCTAAAAATAGACAAAATCAAACACGAGACACTGTTGGAATGAAGCACACTGTCTTGGAAACCAGGAAGTTAGCAACTGAACAAACGCAAAGAAAGAATTCTATTCTTAGCAAATGCTTATGACTCAAAAAGGCAGGTGGGGGATTTTATTATACAGTACCCACGTCACAAGCTGCTGAGAAGATTAAGTGAGTTAATAGAAGTGAAGTGCTCAGTGCAGTTCTGGGCGTATACTAAGTGCTGTGTCTCAGTTAGCTGTCATCATTGCTGCTGTTCTTACTATGCTGGTGCATTCTAATTGTGTTTCTTCTCATACATTACTATCTGCAATTTCATTTGATTTGGCAATATTCACCCAGAAAGCCCAGGCTGTGTATTCCTGATGATCACTCACAATCTCCAGGGTTAGGAGAGGGATGACTACTTAATAAGCAATTTTTCGAGGTAGTTACCTTGTAAGTATTACTTTCATTTACTAGTGGCTAACAGAGTCTAAGAGAAGCAGAAAAACCTATACTCGCATCATCCTTCTTTCTCAACAGGTATGGCATGTATGCCTAAAAGCTGATGGTGCATGGGGTAAGCAAACTAAACTGGTCGCCCATTTTCACCTCCACATGCTTTAGTTATGGCTTAAAAGGATGAGGCTGTAACTCTGAAACTACTTTTCCGCATTCCATATACAATTCTAACATTACTGAAAAACAGAAAAGAAAACTTTAGGGGCCTCACTGTTTAGGGTTCTAGTGTCACACAAACCTGTATTTGTTTTTATGCCAGGCATGGCCAACAATGAAGCAATGATTCAGTTGAATAGGAAGCATGAGTTTTAGTAATAATGAAAGAAAAGAATTTCTGCAACATTAACTGCCCTGACCAGACATACCTTGTCATGCCTCCGGCTCCTGGGAGGTGCATGTGGTGGTACAGGGCAACAGCATAAGAACAGTTGTGATGGAGATATCGACCTTCAGTTACTTCAGAAACTCCTTAGGTCTTTTTGATACAGCCACTTACAATGTGAGTAATAACATCAATTTTTTAAATAATGAAAGTAATCATAAGGCAATAATAGTATACGGGATTTTCAACACATAGTAGCCAGAGGAGAATATGAATCTTTAAGTCACATCAAAATGCCTCTAAATTGTATCATGAAACACAATTGTGATGTTTGCATTTCAGTTTATCTTGGAATATAAAGACATTTTTCTGCTATTGTGGTATAAATTTAAAATTAAGATGAGGAATGATTAAAAGCACCTGGATGAAATTTCCATTTGAATGTTAAAATTAAGCAAAATGCTTTGAAAATAAAGGCCTTTTCTCACCTCCACAAAAAAGGGCCACAGAAGTCTGCTTCCCCTGAATGACTGTTGAGCTCATGGTGACTTAGAAGCTTACCTGAGTCCTATGCTGCCTCACAAGGCTACTGGATCCTGATGTCAACATGGACCTTTCTTCTGATGGGGTCACTATGTGGCAGTCAGTTGGTGAGCAAAGACAGGCAGTAACTTCAAAAGACACCTTTCAGGATCATTTAATCCCAATGGAAAAGAAAAATGGTCATAGCATATTACCTTATATTTTCCTTTAATAATGCCTTCAAATAATCTTTCCTTGGTTCCGTAAAAAGGCAAACAACCACTGAGCAGGATGAAAAGGATCACGCCGCATCCCCAGACATCCACAGGCTTTCCATAAGGTTCTCTCTTCACCACTTCTGGGGCCATAAAGTGAGGTGTTCCAACACGTCCTATATTTAAAACAACAACATTATAGAAAACTAGTTGTGTAGAATGAGGGTTTTTTTCACTTGAAATCCCCCCCTTTTTTTGGTCTTTGTGAAATAGGGTCTTCCTGTAGCCCCAGCTGGCCTGGAACTTGATATGTAGATCAGGCTGGCCTCGAACTCACAGAGATCCACCTTCCTCTGCCTCCCGAGTGCTGGGACTAAAGGCGTGTGCCACCATGCCCAGCTTTCACTTTAAATCTTAAAATAATAATAACAATACGAACAAAAAGTTCAGATATATTCTTTTATCACTTCTTTTCTCCTTGCAAAAGGAATTCACAGACAGAGGGAAAAAAGTTTATCTGATTACCTTTGAAAATACTGAGTCCAGGACAAGGCCCTGGTACTCACTCTTGAATTCTACATGTTATACCATAGGTCGTTATATAGTTCTTGCTTCATGAATAGGTTTAAATATTCAGAATTAGGGGCAGGGGCAAGGGCAGAGACAGGGCAGAAGCAAGTAACAATTCAAGGTAAAAGATTACTTTTAAATGTCAAATGGAAATTCTTCAATGAAAATGAATGCTGAGAACTTTTCCTTGGAGTATAGATTCAAATCTACAGTCCTGTTCAGGTTGATCATAGCAATTCTCTGGTTACTGAAATGGGAATTCTTGGTTTACTCCTAACATTATTTGAAGAGACTGAGAGCAAATGGGTGAATATACTAAACCAAATTGGGAATTTCCCCCCATGCAATCCCCTTTGACTTTCATCTTCTTTAAAGAGTTTTCTTTTTTCCTCCCTTTTTCTCAAAAACCAGTTTTCTGGAAGGAATCCAACACTAGTTGTTTGTACACTATTACCATCTTTAATTCATTATCTTAAAGGGAGTCTTTTCTTCTATTGAGGAGTAAAAGGCTTGAAGTCTATAGGGAAAGGACTGTGGGACCGGTCACTGCCTATTAGACTTGGCAGCTCTTCTAGATTTTTGCAGGTCCAGCCCTGCCTTTTCTTCTTTCCTCTGTCTGCTGTCTCTTACCGTACTAAGTCCAAGATAATTTTTACTTTGGAGATTACAAAATACTTTATCTCACTGTGGTCTGGAGTTTAAAAAGAAATTGATCTTTTGGTCTATCTACAGAGAGTAATATGTGACTAAGAATGGAGAGGGCTAAAGGAATGCCTGGCTTCAGATTGGGGATGCACCTCTGCTGCAGATAATTCTGTTTTCCTTCCCCCTTATAATGGAAGAGATTCAAGCTCAGGGTTCCAAGAGGGAAAATACCTTCATTTAAAATGTACAACAAAAACAGTACTGGCTAGAAGGACCTGACTAGAGAATACTTTTATTTCTGGATTGTCTTATTTTGTTTCCTCAAGCACCATAATGAGCTGCAATGTTGGGAGCTGAGCCTCCCACTTCATTGGCAGCCTGCACATGGTGGGGCCCCGGGATAATGAACCATGTTCAGACAGACAGGAGCTGGCAGAAATAGGGAAAAGTAGGACCAAGAGCACAGGGTACCATTTGGGGTACTGCTACCAGGACTCTTCAGGTACCTGCTGAAGGTTCAGATGATGCTTTGATACTCAACTCCTACTACTTCCCATTCAGGAAAAGATTAAGTCAATATGGGAGCCTCCTTGTGGGAATAATCAGAATGAACATGGTCAGGCCCAGTCATTCTGAGGAGGTTCTATGTATCTAGACTGAAGACCACTCAACTATGAAGAAATTTGTGCCCTTTCTTGGGAAGGACTTATGTTTTTGCTCAGAGATGACAGAGGGAGACAAAGTAGTGGCTTCTGAATTTCAAGTATGTCAGTAGAATGTGAAAAAGACCATCAAACTCCTTGGTGTTGCTACTAATTTTCCTTTTCTTTGCAACCACTTGACTTTTATGACTCTGACCACAAAATTCTAAGAACAGGAAACCAACTATCAAACCAAACATCTGTTTATGAAATACTTCCAATATATACATAAATATTTAAATGCTAAATTTCAATACAAAATAAAAGCTTCCTACCTAGAACTTCAGGGAGGGCATTGTTCTGAATAGCTACACTCACAATACTTTAGGATTTGGGTCTTCATTCATATAACTGTTTTTACGTACTAATTTTGTGTGGCTATAATCTTATAAATTCCCAACTTGTTTCTACATAAGATGCTGTATATCATTTAACCTTTTGGCAGTTGCTTAGAGTTATCATAGTGGATGTCGATGAAAGTGCTATGCTACAGAACAGAAAGTAACTCAGGAACTCCACAGGTATGTAAGGATCGATCTCTTTGTTATTAAAAGGCTGCTGTGCTTTTCATGTTTTAATGTCAACTTACCGTATTTAATGTCAATTTACTATAGACATATATTTTTTTCTGTCAGGCTTTCATTTCTTGTATCTCACCATGCTTATTTCAGTCCTGGCAGCTCTAATTTCTTGCTTATAATCTGCTACTAATTAGAAAACGACCAGCAATCAGATTCTTTTATTTAAAAATTTCCTAAGTGCATGGCAGGTCCTAGACATTGTGATAGGTATAACAAATACTCAAAGGAATGAGCCATCGCTCTCCTGCCCCTTACAAATCTCTTGTCTTTACTGTGATTGCATGTCATTGATCAAATGCTGCAGAGAAGTATGTAACTCAGATAATTTGGGTAATATGGAAGGGAAGGAATAGAGTCATCTAACTACCACAGTTAAAATCTGCCTGCTTTTAAGAGGAGATAATTGCTAGCTTAGTTTCTAAGCAAAGGACTTAGCCTGACAGATAAAATGATGGAAGGCATTCCAACATGGAATAGCAGATACAAGTTATGAAAGAACATGAAATTACACAACTTAATGAGAAACAGGAGCAAGTCTGCCTCAGCCTTTGTTTAGTTGCTCAACTGAGCAGACTACAAATGAGTTTTAAGGATAAATAGTTTTTCTGTATTCTAACTATTTTCTAGGTTGTATTCAGGATAAGTGGATTCTCTAAATACCTGAGTTTTAGATAAGGGAAGTGTAAATGTACTTAAGTGGTTTTAGTATGTGGAATATGTAAAGGAGATAATCCTTTCTATTTGAAGATTAGGTAATCAAAAATTCCAACTGACAGAAAACTAGTTTTCTGTTTCAAAGTAGATAAATATTAGCAAAATTTCAAGCAATGGGAAAGATTTTCCCTAAGGAAAAAAATCTTGTATCTCCATTACTCACATTGTATTTTTAAAGGCACTATAATGTCTAAAACGATTATTTCAAAAATATATAGAAAGATACATTAAGAAATGATAATATGAGCCAGGCATGGTGGCACATGCCTTTCATGCCAGCACTTGGGAAGCAGAGGTAGGTGGATCTCTATGAGTTCAAGGCCAGCCTGGTCTACATAGCGAGTTCCAGGCCAGCTGGGGCTACAGGGAGACCTTGTCTCAAAAAAAAAGACAAAAAAAAAGAAAAAGGAAATGATAATATATAAACTATCAGAGAGAATTTATTTTAGGTCTAGGGATGTAGCTCAGTTGGTAGAAAGCTTGCCTAGCATGCACAAAGCCCTTGGCTCCATCCCAAGCACCACAAAAACTGGGAATGGTGGTCCACATTTGTAGTCCCAGTGCTCAGGAGGTGGAGGCAGGAGGATCAGAAGTTCAAGGTCATTCTGAGTTTCATATCAAGTTGGAGGTCAGCCTGAGCTACATGAGATCCTGTCTCAAAAGAAAGAAAAAAAGGAGAAAAAGATTTTAATTCTAGAGCACAGAGAATAGAAAACTTTGAATAATAAGCATGCTGGGAGTTCAAAAGTAGTTGGAAAAAAATTAGAGGACTGGTTCATGAACTTTACGAAAATAGGTTAAAATAGACACAAACCTAAAGAATTTACTTTTCTCCTTCAATCAAGATTTGTGTAATAAAATATGGAGTCCATGCCACTCTGAGTACTAAAAGAATACAGATCCAGAGCAATGGAAACAAAAGTATTCAGTATATAACATATGAAAGGAATCTGGCTCATGTCCTCTCACTTCAGTTCAATTCTATTCCATTCTATTCAGTTTTGTTGGGTTGGATTTGGTTCAGCTTCTCTCATCTCATTAACCTTGGGGAATGTAATCATCAGAAATTGTTATCACTGTGCCGTCTTCACACAGGATTGACCTGGTTCAAACCAGTTTTGAGGGAGTTGGTTTCACAGCAACATTTGTTTAGAAGGAATTTAGGATTTTTAGTAGTTGCAAGGTCAGTATGCACCAGCAGTGTATGTGCTTGTCCAAACAGCAGATGCAATGTAAAGAGCCTGATGAAAATGTAAGACCCAGCATAAAACCAAGTGCTAGCCCACTGCTACTGTGTACCAGGCCAACGAGACCTATAATTACAGTGCTCATCTCTGGCTCTGACCTTGTGGATAAGTGAAGAGATTCAGAATCCATTTATATGAAGCACCATTTTACTAACATAGGAAATTTAAACTGGATAGCATTAAGGGGATATGCTAGCTGTCTGCATACATCTGAATGGTTATCATGTGGAAGAATGAAAATTGTTGAGAGTGGCTTCAAACGTCAGTTTAGGACCATCAGGATTTCTGTCCAATGAGCATTCTCTTCAATTTCAGTTTACAGAGATATTTCTGTTCATTGCAATGATGAGCTGTTCAAGTTCTTAAGAAGTCTCCCCAAATGAAATGGACTGAGACATGAATTCGTTGCCATTTGAGGAATTAGACTAGAATTCAACCTTTTCTGGGAGGAGACTTTGGTCATTGGTTAAAAGACTGGAGAAGATAAGACTTCATGGAATGTTGGGATTCAGTGATTTTGTGATTAAACCATATTTTACTACTTTAGCTTTGGGTCAGTCTTTTAATCACTGACAGAAAATTTTGAATTAGGATAGGAAAAGCATAATTCTTTGAAACTATACTTCACTTATAGTTTCTCATATTATGGGAAAGGGTTAACTAGAAAAGAATGTGAAACTAGAAGAACTTAAAACAATTTAATTTCAGAGCACATCAATGATTAAAAAAATACAAATATAATTCATTGTTCACTTTTCAGAAGATGGTTCATGTTATTTACTGCTTGATATTCTAGCTACAAGCAAGTTGAATGAACTATCCTGTGTTTACATATAACAGATTGCTATTTTGATATTTATTGTTTAGCAGGTATTTGAATATAACAGAGACACTTTTGTGTTTTTATGAGACGGGGTCTTCCTATGTAGTCCAGGTTGGTCTTGAACTCATAGCCTTCTTTCTTCTTCAGCCTAGGAGTGCTGGGATTACAGGTGTACAGCTCTACATCTGGCTTAACATTTCTGAAGGGTGAAAAATTTTAAAGGCTCTGCTGTTCTTTTTCATATATTTATTCTTAGAGAAGCTGCTAGCACTTTGAGATCTCAAAGAGAAAGCACTGACTAATAGACTGAGAGTTCAGGATGGAGAACGACAGAATTTGCAAAACTAAGATGTAGAATTAAACACTGGGCAGAGTTCTGAGCTGGATTCTGTTGAAAAGAAATAAAAGCCCCATAATATTAGAATCTGTCATTAGCATCCACTTCTATGTTCTGGTGAAGAAAGTTTCTATTTTAATATTTTCACTTTTTAATATAGCACAGGAGTTTTAAAATTATGCTTTGCTTTGGTTAATAATAAAATTAGCTTGCATTCATATTGACTTGCTCTTCACAAACATAGGTTGATGACTTGAGCAGGATTCTTTGATATACGGAAAAAGGGAAATAGTAGGAAATTTTTACTTAGTTACAGATGTAAACTTGAAAGGACGACTCTACATATTCTAGAAGTGACTTTATTTGTTTGCCCAGTTCAACTTCAAAAGCTTTTATGCTCCAAATATTACTGTCTTTGTGAGCTGCCATTTTATTGTCCTTATTTGTTTCTTTTCTGTTAAGTGTTAGGGATATAATGAGTAAACAATCTATTCTTGACTCTGCAGTGCTAGGGATGGAATCCAACACCTTATGTATGCTAGACAAGTGCTCTGCCACTGAACTACACCTACAATCCAGAGTCTATTCTTAAGGACTAAAAATCTAGCCATGACTACAGTTATTAAATTGAAAACTATCTGATGGTGCTTTTTTAGGTTCTGAGTAGAACTGAGCACGAAACAGTAAGGTTGGGTTAGTATTTAGTTTGAAAGTTTTACAGCAACTTGAAAGTAAGCAAGTTTTGAAGGAGAAAAAATTTAAAGCAGTCTTACCTCCAGCTACAAGTCCAGATTCTCCTAACTGAATAGCTACCCCAAAGCCCCCAAGTTTGACAGGTGCTGAGTTTTCTTTTGAGGCAAGGAGGACACAGTGGGGCTGAAAAAAACCAGACAAACAATAAATCCAAAGATAAGAATTAATGGAAAATAATTTTATTTACACAAAACCAAATAATATGATAATACAGTAGTACTTTACAAAAACTTCTGAATTGGACTGGCAAGATAGCTCAGTGGGTAGAGGCACTTGCCAGAAAATCTGACAAGCTGAGTTTGATTTCTGGGACTCACATGGTAGACAGAACCTGCACGCTGTGTTCTGCATTATATACATATCACACCCCCACACAATAAAAAAAAATCAATGTAATAAAAAGTTAAGACCTATTATTTAAATAAAAGAATTTAAGTTAAACAAAATTCTTCTGAATTATTTTGTGTGCTCCTTTTCTCATTTCTGGCTGATTTCTTCAAAGACTTATTCTAGTTAATAATTCTTAGGAATTATTTGTTTCCAAGATTAGGGTATTAGTCAGAAAGCATGGATGTTCAAAGAACACAGGCATATTTTATTTTTTATGCAATACTCCTCGCATTTGATTGACAGTCTATATTTGTTTCAGGAAAAATATAGAATATTTCTTGCTACAATGTTACTTTACCTATAGAGTCATTATATCTTGGCCCTTAGGTCATGTTGATTGTCTACCCTCCCAATCCTCTTTAAACAATTATTTATTCTTATTTTGTGTGTATGAGTGTTTTGCCTGCATGTATGTAAGTGCACCTGTGTTGTGCAATGCCTGTGCAGGCCAGAAAAAAGAGTTGCATCCTCTGGAACTGGAGTTACAGACATTTGTTTGCCTCCATATGGGTGCTTGCAAGTCCATATGGGTGCTGGGTACTGAACCTGGATCCTCTGCAAGAGTAACCAGTGGTTCTTAACCACTGATCCATCTCTCCAGCCCGCCCCCATCCTCTTTTTTTTTTAAAAAAAAAGAAAAAAACTCATTCTACCCCCAAGGAAGAGGAGTATCGAATTGATCTTGGGATTTAATAACTTTAACTGAATTTTATTCCCAGGGAATTCAGTATTTTCCCTGGGCATGTCTTATCTCTGGATCTTTGTTCCCTCTGTGGGAGTGGGGGTGGGAGGTGAGGGAGAAGGGAAAAAGGAGACCACCAGACTAGCCTCAAGTCCAGGGCAAGGCATCCTTCTGAAGGGGTAGCCTGCTAGCCACCTGGATTCCTAAGTGGTTAACAGTGGTAGTTTCTTTGTAGGACCTCATCTGCATCTATCTCTTTTTGGGAGCTTGTTGGAGGTAGTGTCAAGAAAGAACTTAACTGTAATGACTTTTGGTATCTGCTTAAATACTATATTCCCTGATATACCTAATACTACATGCTACCCTCAAAATATGGACTAGTAAGAAAAGGCAAACCTCTTTAGTTAAAACACTTTTTATTCTATCTATACTTTTCAGTTATAAAATGATAACGGGGACTGGAGAGATGGCTCAGGGGTTAAGAGCAGTTGCTGCTCAGTTTTCAGTACCCACAGGGTGGCAAAGAATCCTCTGTGACTCCAGTTTCAGGAGACTTCTGCGCTCTTCTGGCCTCTACAGGCATTGTAAAACATGGGTGCCCTTACATACATGCAGGCAAAACACTCATATACAGAAAATAAAAATAAACAAACACATATTTAAATCTACCCTCCCCACCAGGTTGATCTTCTATGCATCTCACTTCAATCTTGACTTAAAAAGGCATGGCTTTTTTCCTTCTTTCCTCCATTCTTCTCTGTGCAGTTGCTAAGATTCACAGCTTGGTTACCCTGAGGGTTTTTTTCTGATAAACTCCAATAAAACTGTCCTCAAGTTTCTGTTTGAATTCATTCTTAAATTCCTTTATTAATGCCAGGCAGGGTGGTATACATCTTTAATCCCAGTACTTGGGAGGCAGAGGCAGAGGCAGGAGGATCTCTGTGAGATCAAGGCCAGCCTGGTCTACAGGGAGACCCTGTCTCAAAAAGATTTAAAAAAAAAAAAACAAAACTCCCTTTATTAATGAGACTAAGAACCCCAAGGGGGAAATCCTCAGTTCACCTGTATCATCTGGCAACCAGCAAGGGTCACTAAAATTCTAGAAACACTGAAGTGAGAAGACTCATAAAGTTTGAACTTCAGGTAAAAAATAAACAAAGAAACCCATAAGACACAAGTTAAGAGACTGTAAAGTCACAACATATATAATGCAAAATTAAACTTTCGAGGATTAGGGAACTGCTATTTTATTTGGGTGAATCTCATGGAAAGCCTTTTTTTTGTAAATTTTAATTGATTCTCTTGTGTATTTCATACAGAACATCTTAATCATTCTTAATCGTCCTTATATTCCGTCCCCATTGGCATCTTCTCATAGCACCCCATGCCACTGGAATTCATACACTGTCATTTGTGTTGAGGCCTATGGTGTCAAGTTAGTGTCCCCAGATTCCCTCAGAGCAAGTTCATCCACTGGCGTCTAGGCAGCCTATCTAGAGTCCCTCTCTTTAAGAAGATCAGCTCTTCCTCACCCAGCAGTAATCAGCTGCCAATAATTCTTCACCTAAGATTGGGGCTTTCTGTTCATTTCCACTTCTGTGCTAGGGAAATATCTGAACAGAGACCAGAGTGAAGTAAAAAAGCAAGTCTCATGGAAGCAAGCTCTGGACAGAGAAGACAGTCAATATACACAAAGATTCAGAGGCATGAGAAGCGTTGGTATGTATGGAGATTTAGAGGAAGGGTACCTGAAAAAGAATGAACAAAGGGCAGAGTGGTAGGAAATGTGATCTAGCATCCTTAAAGCCATGATTAAAACTGGATTTTATGCTAAGCACAACAGATAACTATAGGAAAACTCTGAACAGGGGAGCATTATAGTCAGTTTTAGGTTTAGAAAGGATCACTCTGACTTCTCTGCAGATCAGTGATTATAGAAAAGAGGCCACTATAGTTGACCAGGTATGAGAAGATGGTGACGTGGACAGCAGCAGCGATGTCAAGAAGTGGTCAAATGTAGCTCATGTTCTGTAGGTTAAGATGAGAGGAATTGCCACTAGGTACAGGTGTGAGAGAAAGCAGCAAATCAAGTGTGACAAGCAGGTTCATGTAATTAGCATCTGAGTGAAAACGAAGATGTCACTTACTGAAATGGGGAATCCTGGGGAGGAGTTTTTAAGGGAGATTCAAGAATTCAGTTTCATACTACTAAAAGCAAGATCTTATAAAATAGGGAGGAGGATGGGTCTGGGATTAGAGATATAAATTTGGGGATCAACAGCATGCTAATAGTATTTACAGCTAAGATAATGAATAAAGTCTCTAAGTACTAAAAGAAAAGAGGATGGAGGATTGAGTCTTGATGTGTACCTGTAATGGAAGGCATGAAGAGAACAATCTAGCAAAAGAAACAGAATGCTCAGTGAGTGGAACAAAGAGGAGGGGGGAATCAGTTTGGCATCTTGGAGCCAAGGGAAGAAACTTTTTCCAGAAGCAATGATTAATAGTAAGTAATTAATGTTATTAAGTCCATTTAAGCTGAGAACTGAGAACAGATGATTGGATTAGGCAATTTGGAAATCACTAATGACCATGACCATGATAAGAGTGGTACTGGTGGCAAGATAGATATAAAAATCCCTACTAGAGTAGGTTCTGGAAGAAATGGGAAGAGGCTACATGGAGACAGTAAAGTTTTCTGTGCTAGGAATGGAGACATGGGATAATGCAGCTAGAAGAACAGGTGAAACTGAAGAAGTTTCCTCCGTCCTCTCCCCCCTCTACTTCAACTTTTTGGGCTATGTTGGTTTGATTTTTTTTTTTTTTGTTTTGAGACAGGGTCTCCCTGTAGTCCCAGCTGGCCTGGAACTCACTATGTAGACCAAGCTGACCTTGAACTCACAGAGATCCACCTACCTCTGCCTCCTGGGTGCTGGGACTAAAGGCTGCAACTTAAAAAAAATTTATTATTTTTACTTTTTGTGTATGAGTGTATTGCCTGCATGCATGTAAGTGTACCCATTGGGCGCAGTGCCTGAGGAGGTCAGAAGAGGTCTTCAGATCTCCTGGAACTGGAGTTACACGCAGTTGTTAGCTGCCATGTGAGTGCCGGGAATCAAACCCGGGTCCTCTGCAAGAGCAGTCAGGGCTCTTAACCACTGAACCATCTCTCCAGCCCCGTTACTCCAACTTTTAACTTCTTAACATATAGAATTGGAAAAAATGAATGAATTTCCATATACCTATCATCTAGTTTGAACAATTATTGATACTCTATTTTTTTAATTGTCTATTACGTGTGTGTGCATGCGCGCGCGAGTGCACATGTATAGAGATCAAAGGACAACTTGCAGCAGTCAGTTGTCTCCTCACACTATGGAGATTCTGGGGAACAAACGTGGGTCACCAGGATTGGGGCAAGCACTAGCTGAGCCATTTCAGTGGCCCCCCATTGTTGTTTTACCTATCCTTATTAATTACTCTTTTTGCCCAAATATTCTAAAACTAATCATATAATTTCATCTATTTACCTAGTGCATTGTTTTTAACAGAGGACTTAAAAATAATTATATATCATTAGTACATTAAAAAAAACCTAAAAGCAACAGTTCTAATTATCACTCAGTTTTCTAGACTATCAGAAGAATACTTTTTATTGTGGCTTAATTTAAAATGTGATCCAAACCCCAGCACTTATGAGGTGGAGACAAGAGGATCAGGAGTTCAAGGACAGCCTCAGCTACATATTATGTTTGTAAAAAAACTTTTAAGAAGTAAGTCTGAAGCCAGCCTGGGCTACATGAGAGCCTGTCTCAAAGCAAAGAAAAAGAAATAAACATAAACCAATAAAAGGAGATCCAATGACCATAAATTACTGTATTATAGATCAGATTCCCCCTCTACTGTCTTCTTTTTTTTTCTTCAATTTTCATGGTATTGACTTAAGATACTTGGTAATTCCCTCATAAAATCCCCCACAGTCTGGAGTTGGGTAATTGACCCACATGGTGTATCATTTAGCATGTTCTGAACTTTGCTGTATTTCATGTAA